GTCAACCGGCTTTAGCCGTTAATGGCAGGGAGCTCAAGTTTGGACCACAACATAGGAGATCATTCCCACTGAGGATTTGAAAATCAACATCCCTTGCAAAGATCCCACAAGCTAGATTCAAAAGACAGAGACTTTCACAGACTCGTTTACATTTGACTCTCAAAGGGAGGATACCGTAATTGATATCTGCACAAATTATGGACCTTTGTATAAAATCACGATGCTTGTGAAAATGGATGGCAAAGGTCATGAGGATTGTAAGATACCGAATGACAAAGAATTTTATTTGGCAGTACATAGATTATATAATGAGAATAAAAATTGGGGCTCAAACTTCAAGTTCAAGGGACTTGCAACATTTCATCCATACTTAATGGAATGGACTGACTGGATTTTAGTTGAATATAAAGAGTTGCTTGACCAGGTAAATATTTTTGGTATCGTGGTTGTGTCATGCTACTCATATGAGCATTGCAAAGATGTTTGGAGGGCTTTTTGTCAGTTATGGAGCCCATTGACCAATATTTTCCACCAAGGTGTCGGTGAATTAGGCATTTCGTTATATGACTTGAAATTCATAGGTGGTTTACCAGTTTTAGGCATTCCTTATGAAGAATTTTTACCTCCCAACCAAGATTTGCTTGATAAGGACCAATATCCTTCTACTATAATCAAACTTTTAAGGATCCATGCCACTTTGTATGATCACCTTGGGGACTTAAAGGTGACTTGGACTCAATGGATTCACTTTTTTTATAGGGGAGAAATGGTGTATGCCAGTTTTGGGAAGAATTCTTATTCTATTTACAAGAAAGGTGAAGAATTCCATCCCACAATGCATCAATTGCCTTTAGAGTCAAGAGGGTCATTGCCTGCTTATTTAGCTTTGTGGCTTAGCAAATTCGTTCCTAATGGAAATAGTGTGGTGTGTCCAGAGACTTTCCATATGGCCTCTCCGCTGGCCAAGGGGACTACTTTTTCACTTGCTCCAAGTGTTTTGGGTTATATCTATCATGGATTGGGAGAAATTGTTACTCACCCTAAAAGTCCCAGAGTGGCGAATCCAAATTTTCCCATTCATTATGTGCTTGGTTGGTTGGGAGAGCATTTCCCAGTTTTGTATCGTCGTCAATCTCAAGATGAATTTCCTCCAAATTATCCATTGCTAATCAAATATTCCGGTGTTCGAGGAAAGGAAATGAACACTTATGCAGCAAGAATTGTTTTTAGACATAGTCAGCATCTTTCTTTCTGACCCACTTCTTTCAATGAAAACGAATATATTGAGTGCTTGGATGTTGCAGGGCTTCCAGATAAACTTTTGAATTTTTGGTTTTCATACGCTCTGCCTTGTTACTTGTCCGAGTGGGTACTGATTTATGCGTCCAGCCTTATTACCCAAACAGATTTGCATGTCAATTTGGGCTTGATCAAGGCATTCCCACAAATAACTCAAGTTTAATTTTGCATAAAGCTATGACTATATCGAGGAGGTGGCTAAAGTAGAACATTTATTTTTGAGAAGGGACACTAATACGTTGTTTTGTATCTCCCGGGCAAGCTATATAGGAGTCTGCACCTACTAGTATTGTCGATGGTGGGTAAGAAATTCTACTCCTTATTTGGGTATATCAGCACTTTGACGAAACGACAATATGACCAACCAGAGCCAGTTTTTGTGATTAAAAACATTCGAACTCCTACCGGGGGAATAAGGAGAGCCATCAAGCTGACCAATGTTGCAAGTACAATTCTGACAACTAGTTATGATAATTGTGGGTGAACTTATTCTGGTGAAAGAATAAAATTTTGAAACCATCGAGAACTTTTTTCAGATGACATAAATCCTAAAAGAGCTCACTATGAAAGGTTACATGGGTCAAATGGGGATGCTAGCTATGTTGGAGTTCCTTACAAAGATCTTCCACTAGATAAGTCTTCTGGCACTAGGGTTAACCAAGCTGAAGTATTTGGTAACCGTAAGGGGAGTGATATGGAAAGGCTCAATACTGGATTGGACAATGAGCAGGTTGATTATGATGATTCAAATGATTTTGTTATGGCTAATCCATCAACTACTCTCCCTTTGGAACCTTGTCAAGCTACTTTCTCATTGGAAAGATTCTTGCCATTGATAAGTACCGAGCTTGGGCCAAATATTGATCATCTTACAAGAAATTTTGTTACTGGACTCATGCAAGAAATAATTAGTCAAATCTCAGCATGTTCTTCATTTGAGATCTTATTAGAGTCTCAAGCTAACTTGATGAAATCACTTCAAATGATCCGTGGGGTAATTACTAAAACTGATTCAGGGATGGATAAGGTCAATTGTTTTGCCAAAACTGTCACATAGACCTTTGAATTGTCTAAAACAATCGCTTGTGATGACATTGTGTTGAAGCAAGGTACTAAATTTGATGTGGCTCATATCAATGACTTAGCTACTCACCATACTGAATGCTTAAGAGTGAAAGAAAGTTTGAGCTTGGAGTTGATGAATGTTCCAAAGCAATCAGATGACCTGAAAGCTAAAGAAGCACAAATTTTGGAAGAAGAATCAAGAATCCGAACTATGAGAACTCAATTAGAAATTGAGCAATCTGCTTTTAAAGAGAGAGTCAAACAACTTGAGTTATCTCTAGGAGAACAAGATGTAAAGGATCAAGAGCTTCAAAAATGAAGGCCCGAAGCAAGGAATAAGGAATTTCAAGCAAATGAAGCACTTAAGCAAGAATTTCAAGAACTTCTTAATTCTTTGAGATTATTTTGTGGCAAGCACTAATTTTTCTCTTGTAGACACTTCTTTCAGTACTCATCAATAAACAATTTTGGAGTCTCTTGACTTTCGAATGTCTTAGAACATTATTCAGTTTAAACACTTAAAAATGTCATTGGTGGAAAATTTTGATTGATTTTTCTTTTGTGTGTGGTTGTGCCTAGTTAAACTAGATTGCCTATGTACCCTTCGCGGGATCAAGCCAACGTAGTTCAATCTTTTTTTTTTTTATGATGATGGTTGCACCTAGTTAAACTAGACTGCCTACGTACCCTTCAAGGGATCAAGCCAACGTAGTTTAATTATTATTTATTTATTTATATATTTTTTATTATTATTTTTTTGTGGTTGCGCCTAGTTAGACTAGGCTACCTACGTACATCAAGCCAACGTAGTTCAAATTTTGATTTTTTTTTGTTCCCTTTTTTTTTGGGTGGTTGTGCCTAGTTAAACTAGATTGTCTATGTACCCTTTGCGGGATCAAGCAAACATAGTTTGAATTTTTTGTGTTTTCATCTTTCTCTTTTTTTTTTTTCCTTTGTGGGTAGCTGCGCCTAGTTGAACTAGACTGCCTACGTACCCTTCGTGCGATCAAGCCAACATAGTTAAAAAAAAAAATTCTCCTTTTTTTTGGGTGGCTGTGCTTAGTTGAACTAGACTCCCTACGCACCCTTTATGGGATCAAGTCAATGTAGTTCAATTTTATTAATTTTTTTTTTTTGGTGGTTGCGCCTAGTTAAACTAGACTTCCTACGTATCCTTCGTAGGATCAAGCCAACGTAGTTTGATTTTATTAATTTTTTTATTTTTAGTGGTTCCGCCTAGTTAAACTAGACTGCCTACATACCCTTCACGGGATCAAGCCAACGTAGTTCAATTTTATTAATTTTTTTATTTTTGGTGGTTGAGCCTAGTTAAACTAGACTACCTACGTACCCTTCGCGGGATCAAGCCAACGTATTTCGATCTTTTTTTTAAGCATCAAACTTTTTAATGAACTTCCCATTCACGCATGGGTACATACACTTCCCTTCAAAATTGGAAAGCTCATAAGATCCTTTGGAAAAAACTTTGTGATGACATATGGTCCTTCCCACTTTGGTTCAAACTTTCCTTTCATCCTTCTCGCCATAACAGCCGGTCGTCTTACAGTTAAAACCAAGTCACTAACTGAGAAGGATCGAAATTTGACCTTTTTATTAAAGGCACCTGCCACTTGGGCTTGGTAGATTTCAAGTCTTTGTTGGGCATCAGGCCTTTTTTCATGCAATGCTTCTAGCTCCGCTAATCTTTTTTTTTTGTTTTTTGTTTGGATTAGTGAGCTAAGCAGCAACTCTTAGAGATGGCAATTGCACTTCAAGTGGAAGCACTACTTCCGAGGCATAGACGAGGCTATATGGGGTACAACCCGTAGAAGTACGAATTGTTATCCTGTATGCCCACAAAGCTTCTAGTAGTCTGTCATGCCAATCTCTTTTGTTTTTGGAAAACAACTTCTTAAAAATTTTGCATAGCACCTTATTGAAAGCTTTGGTTTGTCCATTAGCTAATTAGTTGTAGCTTGCAGAACGCCCATGTCGAAACTTGTATTTTTCAATCAATTTCCACATTGATTGATTTTTGAAATACAAGGCATTATCATAAATGATCTTTGACAAAACCCCATAATGATAAATTATGTGGTTCTTAATAAAACTTACAACACCCAATGCCCTTACTTCCTTTAATGATACAACCTCAGCCCACTTGGAGAAATAATATGTTCCTACCAAAATGTATTGATGAGAACGTGAAGATAGGGGCTTAAAAGGGCCAATTACATCTAGACCCCAAGTCTCAAAAGGCCACGACAACATAGTTGGATGGAGTAATTGAGGGGGTTGATGTATAAAATCTCCATGCAACTAACAAACTTTGCAAGTTTTTACAAATTTCATTGAATCTTGTACCATGGTTGGCCAGTAATAACCCAATCGCTTTAGCTGTGCAGAGAATTTCGGTCTAGCTTGGTGCGTGCAAGTACCAACATGAGTTTCATACAAATCATTCGCCACTTCTTCTTTTGATAGGCACCTAGGAAGGATTCCATCAATTGATCTTCTGTATAGGGTGTCGTTTAGGTATGAAAAATGAAGGGCCCTTCGTCTGAAATCAACCTTTCTCTTTGGGTTAGACGGTAGTCTACCATGTAGGAAATACTCAATGAAAGGTTGCTGCCAATCTAGATGTTCCTCATACCATGTAGGAAATACTCAATGAAAGGTTGCTGCCAATCTAGATCTTTTTCAATTTCACAAATTGTTACTACATTTGTGCTTTCTGTAGCTTCCATACGGTCAAGCACTGGAGGTAGTAAATGATGTTCCCCAACTGTGACTTGGATGTCCCTTTGCTCTGGAAGAGTTAGAGACACAGCTAAATTAACTAGTGCATCTGCTTTGTCATTTTCTGACCTAGGCACATGATTGATCTGGATGTCTTGGAATTTAGACATTAAGTATTTACCCCTTTGGTAATAAAATACCAAAATTTTATTTTTCACTTCATACTTATCGTTTAATTGTTTGACAAGTAATTGAGAATTGCCAAACACTTGTATACAATCAATATGCATTTCAAGTGCAATTTCTAGGCCAATGATCAATGCTTCATTCAATTGCATTATTTGATCATAATGCTAATTGCGACAATGAATATGGAATTAATCCTCCAGAAGGTGTCACCAACACAATGTCTGCCCCTACTCCTCGTTTCCTTGTTGCCTCATCAAAATAAAGCTGTCATGATGATGTTTTAATGGACAAGACATCGTCATCAGGAAAATCATTAGGTAACTACATGTTGTTAGGAATAGGATGAGCTGCTAAGAAATCCGCAAGTGCTTGTCCCTTTATTGCCTTGTGAGATACATATGTAATGTTAGACTCCGTTAACAATACAGACCAACGGACAACTCTTCCTGACATCAAGTACTTTAAAGAATCAGCCTTTGATATCAGCCTTATAGGATGGGCAAGTAAGTAATGTCGTAATTTTTGCACTAAAAAGATTAATGCCAAACACATTTTCTCAATAGGGGAGTAGTTGTGTTCTGCTCCCACAAGCGTCTTGCAGAGGTAGTACAAGGCATTTTCTTTTCCATAATCATTGTTTTGAGCTAGCATTGCCCCTAGAGAGCGTTCAAGTGCTGCAATGTACAAAATTAGGGACTTTCCTTTTATAGGAGCCATTAACACAGGAGGTTTTAATGCTTTCAAAAGCATTCTAGCATACTTGATCCCATACAAAAGGCACATCTTTTTTCATTAGCCTTGAAAAAGGTTGACATCTTCCTGACAAATTTGAGATAAACCTCCTTATGTAGGCCAATTTCCCTTGTAAAATGCGTAGCTCACGTAACTTACGAGGAGCAGACATTTCTATGATTGATTTTATTTAGGTGGGATCAATTTCAATACCTCGATGCCTAATGAAGAAATCAAGAAACTTTCCAAAAGTTACTCCAAACACACATTTTAAGGGGTTCATTTTGAGTTGATTCTTTCTAAATCTATCAAAGACACTTTTGAGGTCACTTAAATGGTATTCCCTTTTTATAGTTTAAACAACCAAATCGGCCACATAACATTCAACTGTGTTGTGGAGCAAATCTTTGAAAATGATTGTCATGCCTATTGGTAAGTAGCACCTGCATTTTTCAATCCAAATGACATTACTGCGTAACAATAAATTCCTTTTGGAGTACGGAATGCCGTGAGTTCCTCGTCTTCAGGTGCCATTTTTATTTGATTGTAACCTGAGAAGCCATCCATAAAAGATAAAGCACCAAACCCCGTGGTGGCATTCACTAGTAGTTCAGTACTCGAGAATGGAAACTCATGTTCAAGACATGCATCAGTTAGATCCCTAAAATCTATGCAAATGCGCACTTGTCCATTCTTTTTCTTAGCAGGCACAATATTTGTGAGCTAAGTGGGATATCAAAATTCCCGAATAAAACCAACACGTATCAGCTTATCCACTTTGACTTCAATTTGCACAGTTTGTTCCGGCCAAAAACAACGTCAACCTTGCTTTATAGGGTGTTTATCGTCCGATACAGCCAGTCGATGTACTGCAATTTTTGGATCTAATCCTGGCATGTCTAGATAACCCCAAGCAAAGACCTCCCGATATTCCCGAACAAGGTGTTCATAATCGATTAATTCTTGTAGAGACAATTAAGCACTAACAAAGACAGGCTTAGGATCATCAGTTGTACTAAGATTTATTTCTCTGAGCTCATCAACAGTGGCATGTCCTCCGTCTTCAATTTGAGGAGGTGTTGGTTGAACATTATTTTTGAACTCTGGGTCATCTTCTAGAATGGGATTGTCTTCCTCTTTCGTATCCAAAGAATCTTCTATTTGATTTTCTTCAAAGGAAGCACAATTAACTTGTACAATCCCTTCTAGATTTTCTTCTGCTTTAACTTCCTTAACATCTTTCAAGACAATTCTCCTTTGAATTTTCTGCTTTAGCTTCCATTTCTTGTTCACATTGGAATTTTGGAATGTAGGCTTTGAATAATATCCAAGCCGTTGAAAAATTGAAACTCGAAGCTTTTTACCACCCTCCTCTTCGGTGAACATAGTTTGTTCTTTATCAATGAAAACTATTGTCTCGGAAGAGGAAGTCTTGGGAATGTCATTTTTCTAGCGAATTATGACTTTCTTTTTCCCCTTCTTGAAGAAAACTTTAGTCTTTTGGGGTCCCAAATTGTATGGAGATGATGATTAAGGAAAATTCGATGTTCTCTCTTTAAAGAAAACAAATCTCTTTGTCTAACTTTCATCCTCTCTAAATGTGGTTGAGATTACAATGTCTTCAGGGATTGATTGAATTATCCTTTGAAGAGGACATGTGTAACTTGTAGTAAGTGATGACATTGTATCTCGAACTGAAGTCAAAACTTCTTCTTTTAATTTTCCTTGCTCTTTTGGTACATACTTCGAACCAATCTTTCCTTTGCTGCAATTGAAACTTGACCTTTTTGGACCCTTTTAGGAGTTGTCTTGACTCGGATAAATTTTGAAGCTTTTGATGATTGAGAAGTTGATGGTTTGGATATACCCTCATTCTTCGTCATAGCTTCTTTATCCTTTCGATTATCAGCAAAAAAATGAGAATTTGTCATTTTATAGAATTTGGCGTCAGCATAGTTCACCTTGTCACTCCCAAATGGATTCGGGTCTGCCACCATTGTCTTTTCCTCCCTGTCTTTATAAAACATGAAAACTTGGTGGAGTGTGGAGAGAATGACACCATTAACATGCAGCCATGGACGTCCTAACAAGACATTGTATGTCATATTAGCATCTATGACATGGAAAATGGCCTTCGTGTGAAAATCATCAATTTCAATCTTCACTTTGATGGTGCCTAGGGCTGTTTGCCCTACTTGATCCGAAATGAGTACACCCAAGTGCAGGCGGTCAAGCTGTAGTAATAATCCGATTAAGTCCGGAGTCGAATCCATAGGGAACTATGATTGGTGTTTTCAAGTAAGCAATAATAGAGACCAAGTAACTGGAAATTTCGAGAATTTTGAAGTGGTGGGGTTTCTTGAATAGAATAGAAGATTCTTGTTCAAGAGTTTTCTAGACAAAATGTAAGATTCTCTAAATGTAACAGCCACTCTTTAGTTCGTGGATCAGGACATGTAATAGACTATGCGATTTATTATGTTTGTGCTTTATAACTCAATTAACTCCCGTGTCAACAGCAACTTAATCGAAAGATAAAGATGGACTATGAGAATTAAGCACATGATTTTGATGGCTTTCTAGAAGTTTACAAGAATTGTCTGTGCCGAGACTTAACCCGTCTACAAAACAAGCAAGTGTTTCTACAAGGCATCCAACCATGGCATTAATGATTCATTCTTTGAATAAAGCGCAGTAATGGTGGAGATTGAAATGTTGTCATGAAGAGCTAGCCGGGGTGCTTGCCTTGAACCAACAGGTTTTTCTATGCAAGAGTCATCCATATCATAGATGAAGCCCTTGGTTATACAAAGTACCTCAACTTTGCTAGATACATTCAATCATCCAATGAAAAGGTGGAGAATAAAGCATTAAAGCATGAAGAAGTTGCACAAACACAACTTTCGGATAATCTTTACATATTTATCACCTCTTACTAAAGAGTGAATGAGGAACTACTCACTTTTCATGGCCTTGGCAAGGCTAGAAAAGTGAGTGTTATTCATCCCTCTAAGTAGAGGAGCTACTAAGTAAAACAAACTAAAGAAAGGGCTTATCTTCAATGAAGAATAAGTGAATCGCTTTCCACCCTTCAGGGCTTTGATAAAGCTCTAGAAAAGTGGAAGAGTTTCACATTTCTAAGAGAGAAGGATGCTCAAGCAATGGAAGTGAAATACATGAAAAATAAAAGTGAAAGAAAGGTAGTTACTTTTGGAGGGTTTCCACCACAATCAAAAGTTGAACCATCCCTTTTGATACTTTGTAAATATAAGCATGTACAACTACAAGGGGAGTCTAAGCCTCCATCATGGTTGTCACAACATGAATGTAAAGACTTAGCATAAGTAAATAAAAGACTTAAACTACAAGGGGAGTCTAACCCTCCATCATGGTTGATATAAATGCAAAATGAAAACATAAAGATGAAATGTTCATGAACTAGATTACTAAAACACTCTTTACTTTACAACAAAGATTGTTCCCCCTTTTCTCTACAAGAGGAAGAATGCCCTTTAAGCTTCCAACATGGGAGTATTTATAGGCAAGGAAGGGGAGGAGGGGGTAGGAGATAAGAGAGGATGAGTGAATAGTATTTGCCGCCCATGGGAATCAACTACTCTGCAGGCAGTCTGCAGGGGGCGTTCGAACGTGATCTAGCGTTCAAATGTTAAGTCTTTCTTTTTTTAAGGACGTTCGAACGTGAGATGCCGTTTGAACATTGTATGTGTCTTTGTTTTGAGGACGTTCGAATGCCAAATGGGGTCTGATTCCTTCCACTCAAGTGGCATGTGGTCACTGACTTGGTCACTTCCATACGTCTTGAACAACCTTGACTTTACACACAGCAACTTGGTCCTCAGTCACTCAAGACATCGTTCGAACGTGGAGTGGCGTTCGAACGTGGTGGTACTCAAGTACTTCTAGTTCTTTTTTCTTTACTGCAACATGCCAGGTTCTAGTGGTGTAGTTTTCTCAGGATTCCAGAGGACGTTCGAACGTGAGTTGGCATTCGAACATGGTACTCAAGTACTTTTGCATTTGCCCTTTGTTGACTGCAACATGCCATGTCTCTGCAGCTGGTCTGGGCAGGGTTTCAGAGGACGTTCGAACGTGGGTTAACGTTCGAACGTTCTTGCATTGTTCCAACCTTCTGTAGTTTTGTTCCTTAGTGTGTTGGTGTTACATTCAAGTGTGATTTTTGTTGTTCT